GTCGAGTTACATAGCCATTACACTAACTGCTGGTCCTTTATTTATTTATTTTTAAGAGTTTTTTTTTTTTTGCCTCAGGGTGCATGCTTGCCAGAAAGAATGGGCGAGACAGAGGCAGTGAGAGGGAAAGTGAGAAATCACTCCCAGGAGAGATCATCATGCTGCAATTCCTTTTCCTCTATTATCCTCCAGGGATCTTGAGCATGCACACGCACATGCCTGGTGTGAGTTTCAAGCCACTGGGTCCAGGACTTGAACTGTGGTCAATCATATGGGAGTCCAGAGATGTAACCACTATGCATCTGCTGGACCTGAACCCTAGATTTAAAAAACACAACAGTCAAGACAAATTTTTATATATATATATATATACGCGTGCACACTTTGCCAGAGACAGAAAGCGAGAAATCACTCCCTGGGGGGATGGCCACATTACAATTCCTTCTCCTCCATTCTCCTCTCAGGATTTTCTGCACGCACACATATGCATCTGGCATGAGCTTCAAGCCTCTGGGTCCAGGACTTGAACTGCAGTAGGCCATATGGGAGTCTAGTAATGTAGCCATTATGCCATCTGCTGGTCCCAGAAAAACAAAATTGAAGAATTATTTTATTGAATCTTATTATCATTGAATTTTTAATTTGACCAGAGAGAGATAGAGAAAGTGAGAAAGCAAGCCACCAGGTATGGAACTCGAACTATGATCAGTTATGTGGGAGTGTCCAGCACCTTAACTACCATGCCACCTGCTAGTCCCCCAGGAAAAAAATTTTCTAATCAATCAATGATAGTCTTTCCCCAAGGATGGGGCAGGCAGAAATATATACGATAAGAGACTTGAGATATATAATAACCAAATGCAAATGAGTGGACTTCAAAAAACATATTTATTTATTTATTATTTTAAAATTTGGTATAGAACACATGCACTTATCAGACGCAAAGTACAGTGGGCCACATGGAAATCCAGCACTTTTACCCGCTACCTGCTGGTCCATGTGTGGACATTTTTAGATCCTGATTCAAAAATAAAACTGAGGCAATCAGGGAACAGATAAAGAATTGGCTATAAAAACTTCCCAGAGGCTGGCAGGTGGCATAATGGTTAAGGGTGCTGGACTCCCACATGGCTCACCATAGTTCGAGTCCCGGACCTGGTGGCTTGCTTCTTCCTCTCTCTTTCTCTCACTCTGTTTTTCTCTGGTCAAATTAAAAGTAAATAAATAAAGTTAAATAAAATAATTCTTAAAAGAAAAAAAAATCTTCCCAGAACTCAACCTTCACCTGGAGCTAATCTATACTGTTTGAATAAAAATGTGCTTGCCTATGGGACCAGCAGTTAGTGTAATGGCTATGTCACTGGACTCCCACATAGTCGACCACAGATCAAGTCCTAGGCCCGGTGGCTTTAACTGAC